CATTTCGTTAAAAGAGCTCAAGTCTGTCGGAGGGCAAAGTCCATGTTCTTTCTTACTCTGCATTCCAAATGGAAGTCTCAGGAATTTCACTGCTTGAGCTAAATGATTAAAAAATCTCCCACAGAGATTTCTAGTTCTGCACATCCAAACCAAATAGACGTTAGAAAACAAATACCTGGGGAAGTCACCAGAATTTGAAAGAAATCTATTAAAGACCGCCCACAGGAAAAACACGACATACATTTGTTTCGTAAACACTTCTGTTAGAATCAACTGTATTTTCTAAAGCTCCAAGAAGAAGATAGGAGATAGAAACCAGTTTTGATTGGTTGATCATAGGAACTCATGAGTGTGATGGATTCTTTCTGGCGTTCTACGTAAAGTCACTTTAGCTGCAGCTGTGTCGCTCATGGATCAGAAGAGAGCAGGGAGAGGACGTGTAGGGGACTGCGGGGTCCCATAGCTCCAGACTGTAGCCTGGAATGGACTCTAAAGATGTTGGAATCCAAACTCTCATTTCATAAATGGGAAAATGAAAACTCACAGGCTGAGTGACTGCTAGTTAACTGTAGAGCAGAGGCCAGAACTCTGGGTTTCCTGATTCTTAAGCCATTGTTCTTTCCATGACAAGAATCAGGTATCACTTTAGAGCATACTCTTTTTTCCTCCTCTTTGGACTCAGAGAGGGAAAAAAGAAAAAGGTGAGAAAGCTTGCAGAAGCATTTTAAAAAACAGAACACTAAGAATCAAGTTATCTTGGAAAGTGTTGAAGAAGGTAAGTGCAGAAGCTGGAATAGCAGAGCACAGAAAAAGATAAGGTCTTATCTAAAGCAATTAGAATAAGGCTATTCGAGGCTTGTGTTACTTGTATTTAGGTGAATGCTCTGAAACAGCAAGCTTTTTGAAATCCGTGGCCAAATCAGAACCTAGAAAGTGACGACTTCTAGTCTCCAAGTAAACGTTGAATGTGACATAAAAGGTACTTCAGGTTTTTATACTTAGGAGAAAAAAGAAAAAAGGAAAAATGACAGGAAACAAGATGTGGGCTGGGGTCGTCTGAGTCTACCTCCAGGTCCCAGGAAGTCCAAAGCCTACCCATTTTGTGAATGGTCCCAGGAGCTTTTGTTTTTCTGGTCTTCTAGACTTCTGAGATCTTGCTTTCATGTGTAAATTGAGAATTTACTGTAGAGATGGAAGGCGGGGTTGACATCCCAGCAACAGCAAATAAATTCAATCAGAATGGAACTGACCCTGCTCCCCTACCTGTCTGAGCTTCTCTCCACCTGGCTGGCTCTCTCTCTCCTTCCCACCCCCCCCACCCTACGCAGGAGCAGAAACAACAAACTTCCTCTAATCTCCTGCAGAGCAGGTTTTCCCCACCTCTGAAGTCCAGGTGCCTATAGAATCCAAGTGCTCAAGGTGGCATCCCTCCTCACAAGCTCATCAAGGAGGCTTCCCCAGCGCCATCCTCCCCCCCCCCCCCCCGCCCGCAGGAGACAGCTCCCTCCTTCCCCTTCCCAAACAGGCATTGCAGGTCCAGCTGTTAATATTTAAAAAAAAACAAACAATTTTTTCCCCACGTCTTTATACACATTGGGAAAATTCCTGAGTTTGATTAAGATAGTAGTACTTGCTATACTGTGGTAGTGTTTCTATTTTTTAATTGCTTTGTTCTGTATGGAATTTTATTATCATAACTAAGTGTAATAGACATTTCTTGATATTTATCTGATTTTAATAAACGGTCTTCAAAATCGGAAAGCATTAGTAATCAGATCTAGGCTTTATTCTATCAGTGATTCCACCAAAGGTGGGTAAATGAAGCAGTTGTAAAGAGGCAGCTTTAGAACTGAAAGCCTTCGGAGGCAACCAGGTACAATTTTAAGGGGTGGGTCTTGAAAACTCAAGCCTATTAAATAATAGAAAACATCACAAGCTCACTGTTTGGCTTCGAAACTGTTTCCCTAAGCAGGTTTCTCTTTTTGGAGGTGTCGCTTGTATTTGAAAGCTGTAAGTCACGGTAGGCAAAAAGTGAAGAAGGAGATGGCTCAAGGGATAGTCTCTGTACTTCTCCATGCTTTTTTCTGTTCCAACCTTTCCATTTCATGAAGCTCTGCCTTCTCCAAATATTTTCTGCTTACAGGGGCAAGGAATACTCAGTGTTCAGGTCTCAGGGACCTCTGGGCAACTTTGTCCGTCTGTCCTTCTTATCCTCACCTCTATCATGTGTTCCCCTGAGTTCTGCCTGCTCACCTGTTTCCCTAGTTCCTCCTGAAACCTTCCTGCGTACAGCTATCTAAACGATGTGAGAACTTTCCATCAAACGAACACAGGGTTCTCTCCATTGCAACTGTACCGGGCTGTGTCCACCACCCTCTCTCTACAGTGGCAATTCTCAGAGTTTTACTGCCTTCTCTCCTTCTGTCCCCACATTGCATTTCCTCAAAACCCATATCTTCTTCTCTCAGGTCCCACATCCACCATTTCCAAGTTTTCACCACCGCCTTGCATCTCTGAGGAGGTTGCTTATTTCCTCTGAGCTGCGTGGCCCATGGTGGGGGCAAACTGGCACCGTGTGAAGACTGGGCCTGAGCCACTCACAGCCTCGAGGCCCAACACGGCCAGGCTTGTCCCAGGCGTCATTACCAACAGAAAGATCTTAGCACAATTCTGGAGGGTTCGATTATGCCTTATGTTCCTGATCAAAACCGCTAAGCATAAACAGTGATGATAATTAGTATATTTACATAAACAATACAAGTAGATCAATCCAAGTGCACACTGCATTTTATTAATGGCTTCATTGTTCTCCATCATTGTTTAATTTGCCCCAGTTTCCCTTCCAGCCTTAATGAGCACAACTTTTTAAGTTTAGAAATATAGTGAATTTTTTAACTTAAGCAAGCCCTTCTAAGTGTGTGACAGATGGTTCATGTCAAAAGCCCTTGGGGAAGGCTTCTGTTTAGCCTTTGATTTTGTTTTGTGTTTTCAGCCAGAGAAATGTTTGACTGGGCTGATAATTTGTAAGCATACATCAACCATCAACTTTTATCGTCCTTTAAATTCCCGGCTCTCCCCCAGATTTCTCTGCTACTCCTGGCCTAGAAGAGGCTGGGAAACCAGGCAGAAGCATGCCTAAATGGCCTTTGTGATAAGCCTCATGAAGTTATTTTTCTCAATTAATGGTTTTCACCGACAATTTTACTGCTCTGCTTTAAGCTTCTCCATTCCCTTGGGCATCTGTACATATGTCTGTGATAAGCCTCATCCAGTCCAACAAAATTGGCCCCTCAGAATACAGACTGCCCTATTTTTAAAAAAGCTCATTTTAAAAAAGCTTTTTTTTTTTGAAATATAACACTTGAAAATACATTGAAACAGAAAGTAATAGAGCTTTAAAGCTGAGCTATAAAAGTGATTTATTCATGAGCAATACTTATTCCTCTCCCAATTGACATCCATTTTATATTAATTTTCCTTAAATGTGTATCCTCAGCTTCTTTCTAGATTTTTACTACTAAAACAAACTTTCTATTCCACCCTTATTCCCTTCTACTTTGCTCCAAAGACTCTCCTATGTGCTGAGAGGGATCCATTGGGGGTACAGAACCACAATTTGGGAAACTCTGCTATGAAATAATAACGCTCCCTAGTCATAATCACTGACTTTATTAGGTAGTCAATTAGCTATTTTTTAATTAGGGAAAGAAAAGTTCCTCATTCATTTTTTCTGAAGTTACTTGAAATGTACTTTTATAATCATGCTCCACTGGTTGCAGGAAAGCTATGGAAAGTACACCTTTTCTTAGGTAGGTGGAAACTTCACTCTATAGGTAAGTAATTTCTTTTTTTTTTTTAAAGATATTTATTTATTTGAGAGAGATAGTGAGTGCGAGAGAAAGAAAACACTAGCAGGGGGAGGGAGAGGGAGAAGCAGACTCCCCGCTGAGCAGGGAGCCAGGACCCCGGGATCATGACCTGAGCGGAAGGCAGACGCTCAATCCACCGAGCCACCCAGGTGCCCCATAGGTAAGTAATTTATATAAAGACATTTCTAGGGCGCCTGGGTGGCTCAGTCGTTAAGCATCTGCCTTCGGCTCAGGTCATGATCCCAGGGTCCTGGGATCAAGTCCCACATCGGGCTCCTTGCTCGGCGGGAAGCCTGCTTCTCCCTCTCCCACTCCCCCTGCTTGTGTTCCTGCTCTTGCTGTCTCTCTCTGTCAAATAACTAAATAAAATCTTTAAAAAAAAAAAAAAAAGACATTTCTAGGGGCGCCTGGGTGGCTCAGTTGGTTAAGCAACTGCCTTCGGCTCAGGTCATGATCCTGGAGTCCCAGGATCGAGTCCTGCATCAGGCTACCTGCTCAGCGGGGAGTCTGCTTCTCCCTCTGACTCTCCTTCCTCTCATGTTCGCTGTCTCTCATTCTCTCTCTCACAAATAAATAAAATCTTAAAAAAATAAAATAAAATAAAGACATTTCTATAGCCCATCCTCCCCCCACCCCAAAAGACTCACAGCAGAAGAAAGAACCCCTGATAACAATGTTCCCTTTATATTGTATACTTTTCACAGCGGATTCATACACTTCAGTTCATCCAGTTGTTTTTTTTAACAGATGAGGAAATAGAGACTTAGAGTCTCATGGGAATAAAAGGTAGCACATAGGGAATATAGTACTGATATTATAGTGTTGTGTGGTGACAGATGGGAGCTACACTTGTGGTGAGCACAGCATAACGTCTAGAAATGTGGAATCATGATGTTGTACACCTGAAATTAACGTAACACTGTGTGTCAACTATACTTAAATAAAAAAAAATTTTTTTTAAATAAAGGCTGCCTTCAAGGTCACACAGCTTGTCCATCAGAGACCAGAATTTAAACCACCACTTGATGATTCTGATTAAAAAAAAAAAAAATTTCATTTCACAAATAGGATTAGCGATCTAGCAATTTTCATAAACGTTACGGTGCAGAAGCTTTTATAAGCAATACTTACCAGTGACTGTGTTTTCCTTAGCTTAGATCTGTCCTGCAATTTATTTTTCTTATCATGTGATTGTCGACTGAAATCTGGGTTCATTTCATGTCTTTTCCTCCTTCTGTAAATTAGAAATCGTTGGAACATTACAAACAATCATTTTAAATTTGCATAGCTATTTGTCTGTTGGACTTGGTTGTTCCTGTGATTTTAAATGATTGTTTTCACTCAACTGGAAATGAGCCAAATGTAGATCACTAGAGAACTGGCTAAATCAACTCCGGCCCATCCACACAGTGCAGCACTACGAGCTGTAAAAAGGAAAGCTGGGTATTATTACATCCAACTGGGGGGTGATCTCCAGGATATTATTGTTATATGAAAAAAAGAAAGGTGAATAAAATGGTATGTGTTGTGTGCTACCATTTATTTCAGAAACAGATGTGTGTGTTTGCTTAAAATTTTGTTAAATGGAAGGACTATACCATAACATCTTGAAAAACGGTTACCTATGAGTAGGCTTCACATTGCGACCCAATCAAGAACAAAGAACAGTACGGAGGGGTGGGAGCAGAAGCTAGAATTCTCCAAATACACTTTGCTTTATATATTTGACTTTGGAACCTGCTCAATTTTTCTCAAAATTATAAAATAAGACAAAGGAAGAAAATCCCTAAAATCTAAGAACAAAATGAAAGAAACAATCTTGTCTCTGAAGCTGGTGGTATTACTACACATGGAGGGATTATCTCATGGGACTTTAAACACAGTAATTTGTCTGAATATCCTTAGTAGAATCTATCCTTAAGGACAAAAACACAGGCAAAGAAATCTTAAGCCGTTTTTAGTAATCCTATTGTTTGAATTAGTATTAGTATTTATTTTCTAAAACTATCATATATAGTTGGATAAAGTAGGGATCAGCAAACTATATAGCCCAGAGGCCGAGTTGGCCCAATTGTCTTTGTAAATAAAGCTAAACTGGGACATCGTCATGAGTATTGTTTGCTTATTGTCTTTGACTATTTTCAGGCTACAATGGGAGAGTTGAGCAGTTGCGACAGAGACATGTCCTGTAAAGCCTAACGTATTTTTGTCTGGTGTTCTCCAAAAAAGTTTGCCTGTAGTAATGGATCTAGGCCATGGTCCTCAATAGCCACTAACATCACAAAAAAGGGAGACAACCAGAAATCACGTGCCTCGTGATGGAAGTACATGATCTGATATACTCAAGCCTCTGGATTGGACCACCAGTATGGCCAAGTACAGGAGACAGAGAACATGTTAGGCTGCATGTTGGGAGTGCAATCAGCAAAATTCAGAATGTGAGAAGCTCTACAGGATAAATGACCTGATTTTTTTTTTTTTTTAAGATTTTATTTATTTATTTTGAGAGAGAGAGAATGAGAGAGAACACATGAGAGAGGATAGGGTCAGAGGGCAAAGCAGACTCCCTGCCGAGCAGGGAGCCCGATGCGGGACTCGATCCCGGGACTCCAGGATCATGACCTGAGCCGAAGGCAGTCGCTTAACCAACTGAGCCACCCAGGCGCCCATGACCTGATTTCTATAACAAACAAATTGCAAGGGGGAAAAAAAAAGGACAGAGGCCTCTACCATAACATCTTGAAAAACGGTTACCTATGAGTAGGCTTCACATTGCAACCCAATCAAGAACAAAGAACAGTATGGAGGGGTAGGAGCAGAAGCTAGAATTCTCCAAATACACTTTGCTTTATATATTTGACTTTGGCCTATAGATCCAAAAAATACTTTTTTAAAAAAGATTTTATGTATTTATTTGATAGAGAGAGCACAGCAGGAGGGAGAGGGAGAAGCAGACTCCACACTGAGTAGGGAGCCTGATGCAGGACTCCATCCCATGACCCCGGATCATGACCTGAGCGGAAGGCAGATGATCAACCGACTGAGCCACCCAGGCACCTCTAGATCCAAAAAAGACTTAAGTGACACATGGACTAAATACAACCCGCCCTGACCTTGTTTGGAACTTGATTAAATAAACCAAATGTTTAAAAATATCATTTATGAGACGTTCAAAGATACCTCAAAACTGACTTGATATTTGATTGATTATATTATGAAATCATCCATTGATTTAGATGTGATATATATATCATACTATGATTCTTAGAAAGCGTTTATCTTTTAAGGATAGGCATTGATTGAAATATGTATGAATGAAATAATATGACATTTATATTTGTCTCCCAAGTGACTTGGGGGAAGGCCAGAGTGGGTGAGGGATAAGTTAATGAGTTCAAAACCGTTAATGCTAGCTGATGGTTACAAGCAGTTGTATTCTCTCTACTCTTATATATTTGAATTTCCACTATAAAAACTTTATTTATTTGTTTGTTTAAAGATTTTATTTATTTTGAGAGACAGAGAAAGCAAGAGAGTGAGCGAGAGCAGGGGGAAGGGCAGGGGGAGAGAGAGAATCTTAAGCTGACTCAATGCTGAGCCCAGAGCCCGATGCGGAAACCATGACCCAAGCCAAAATAAAGAGTCAGAATGCTTAACCAACTGAGTCACCAGACACCCCATAAAAAATTTTATTTAAAAAGATCAGCTTTCCTGGGGCGCCTGGGTGGCTCAGTCGTTAAGCGTCTGCCTTTGGCTCAGGTCATGATCCCAGGGTCCTGGGATCGAGCCCCGCATCAGGCTCCCTGCTCCGCGGGAGGCCTGCTTCTCCCTCTCCCTCTCCCCCTGCTTGTGTTCCCTCTCTCGCTGTGTCTCTCTCTGTCAAATAAATAAATAAAATCTTTAAAAAAAAAAAGATCAGCTTTCCCAAATATTTCTTATTGCTTAATTTGTAAAAATTTCCCCCAACTTTTAATTAAGAAGTTTCAACATACAAAACAGTTGAAAGAATAGCACAGGGCGCCTGGGTGGCTCAGTCATTAAGCATCTGCCTTTGGCTCAGGTCAGGTCATGATCCCAGAGTCCTGGGATCAAACCCCGCATCAGGCTCCCCTGCTCAGTGGGAAGCCTGCTTCTCCCTCTCCCACTCCCCCTGCTTGTGTTCCCTCTCTCGCTGTCTCTGTCAAATAAATAAACAAAATCTTTAAAAAAAAAAAAGAAAGAAAGAATAGCACAGTGATTACCCATAAACTCTCCAACTAGATTCAACAATTAGTAACATTTTGCTATTTTTGCTTTCTCACTATATATACATAGATACATATATATACATGCACATGCCACATATATATGTATATATGTATTTTTGCCACACCATAGGAAAATAAATTGCAGACACTTCACCCCTAAATACTTCAACACTCATCTCCTAAGATAAAGACATTTGCCTCCCTAACCACATTAGTATCATCATACTTTGGAAAATGAATGGTAGTTCTTTAATATCATTTAATATTCAGGTCATATTCAAATTTCTGCAATTGTCCCAAGAATGCCTTCTATAGTCTTCTTTTAAAAATCAGAATCCTATCTAGATTCACACTGCATTTGGTTGTTATGTCTCTTATGTCTAGAATATTTTCCCCACTTCTTTTTTTCCCCCATGGCACTGACTCTTTGAAGAGTCCAAGCATCTGGTCTATCTTGGTGAATGTAGCACATGCACTTAAAAAAATGTGTTTGTGGAATTGTCTATTTATCTCTTTAAAGCTGTCAATTTTTGTCTTATGTATTTTGAGGCTTTGTAATTAGGTACATATGCATTTGTAATTTTTATATCTCTCTGCTTAGTTAATCCCTGTATCATTATGAAGTGTCCCTCTTTATCTTTGGTAATACTCTTTGTCTTGATGTCTGTTTTATTTGAAATTAATGGTCATTCTAGCCTCCTCATGTTTTTTCTTTGCATGGTACATCTTTTTCCATCACTTCATTTTTAAATCTATTTGTGTCTTTAAATTTAAGGTGTATCTCTTGTAAAAAGTGTACATTTGGGTTTTGCCTTCTTACCCATTCTGATAATCTCTACCTTTTGATTGGGTGTTCAGTACATTAACATTTAATGTAATTATTGCCTTTCACAAACAGTATTTGAGGTCACAGAAAACTCAAGACATTATCACTTTATCTCGTGTTAATGTACTATTCATATGCCTGGGTATCTAAGTTTGCCTCTTTCTTATTTACCACCATAGTTCAGACCAAGGCCACATACAAATTCTTAAATACTATCTTCAGGGATACATTGATCAATACATAGTCAATACATTCACGATGAGTCAAAATTCAAGAGTTCAAAAGGATGTACAGTGAAATTTGTCTATCTATCCTTGTCTCTAACTTGCCATTCTCCTCCTTGAAGGCAAACGATACATATCAGTTTCTTGTGTGTATTCCAGAGATATTTTATGTATAGATATTTTATGAATATATATATATATTTTCTTCTCCACCTATTTTAATATAAATGGTAGTATTTCTTTTCTGCTCTGTTTTGTACCTTGTTTTTTTTCTGCCCAGTATCTTCTAAATTATAAGCAAACTAATTAGACTTTTTCTGATACAACCAGATGAATTTAAAGTTCATGAAGGGGCGCCTGGGTGGTTCAGTGGGTTAAGTGTCTGCCTTCGGCTCAGGTCATGGTCCCAGGGTCCTGGGATCGAGCCCCACATCGGGCTCCCTGCTCTGCGGGGAAGCCTGCTTCTCCCTCTCCCACTCCCCCTGCTTGTGTTCCCTCTCTCACTGTCTCTCTCTCTGTCAAATAAATAAATAAAATCTTAAAAAAAAAAAAAGTTCATGAATTGAAAGGCTACACTTCTCTCAAAATCAGTTAGTGAGTATTGCAAAGTTGGTCAGTCGTGATATAAAAATGAGTAAGGCATGGTCTGCACCCTCCAAGAGCTTGAGTCTTGCCTAATGAGGGATATCACTCTCATCTCACCTCCGAAGGGACTCCAATAGTCCCAAAGATACACATGTAATCTCAATGTCCCCAAGTCATCAGACTTTCTGGGATGACCCTTTCTTTTATTAGCCAAATCATATAATTTAAGAAACCATCCTACAAAAGAAGTGCTTACTTACTATATGTCAGGTACTATCATAATCATGTCACATACATGAGGATTACTCCACAGGGATCGTGTGAGTTAGGTGTTACCATTATTGCCATTTTATAGGTGCAGAAACCAAGGCACAGAGAAGTTAAGGAACTCCCCAGGATCACAAAACTAGAAGTGTGGGAGTCTGGATTTGAACCCACACAGTATGGCTCCCCCTCTTAGGCTGCCTTGATGTTAATCTGTTGAAATATATTCTGAAAACATGGCAGATATATTAAAACATTTTAAAACCTTTCAAAATTTGTTTCCTTTATTTCTCGTTTATCCTGTACATGCGCATACATATGTGGATTAACAGGTACATATGTGTATACAGATGCACATGTATATTTTTTTACTTTCTCTTCTTTCTGTACTATGGGTGGCATACTGTAGGTGCTCCCTTGACATTTGCTTTTCTCACTTAACAACTTACCCTTTCACTCCTTACCAGTTCATAGAGTTCGTCCTCATTTTTATAGTTGCCTAATACTCCATCGTGTGAATGCACCATACATAGTTTATTTAACAGATACTCTCCATGTAGGAAAATTTAAGTTATTCCCAATATTTTAAAGTCATAAATGAGGGATGCCTGGGTGGCTCAGTCAGTTAAGTGTCTTTTGCTCAGGTCATGATCCCGGGGTCCTGGAATCGAGCCCTGCGTCAGGCTCCCTGCTCAGTGGGGAGTCTGCCTCTCCCTCTCCCTCTGCCCCTCCTCCCTGCTGTGTTCTCTCTCTCTCAAATAAATAAATAAATAAATAATCTTTTTAAAAAAATATTTTATTTTTTGAGAGAGAGAGCACGCACGCACACACAAACACACAAGCAAGGGGGAGGGGTAGAGGGAGAAGCAGACTCCCCTCTGAGCAGGGAGCCCAACGTAGAGTTTGATCCCAGGACCCTGAGATCAGGACCTGAGCCAAAGGCAGCCACTGAACCAACTGAGCCACCCAGGCATCCCTGCAGATTTGTTTTAATGATGAAATGGGTTAGCAATTTTGAGATTACTTTCAGAATTTGTAAGTAAATATATACTGTTTATATATATGTGCATATTATATAGTATACAATTTTTATACAAGTTATATATGTACATATATAGTTTTGATTATATATTATATGTACATATATAATTTGTATAAATAAACATGAGAGCCAGGTTTCTCCTTGTCAGAGAAGGGAGGTGCAGATATGAAAAACGAAAAGACCAGAATGAACTCTATGGTGCTAGATTGAAATTTGAAGTATTAAATATTAAAAGAAGCTGTAATGTTAAATCACGGTAGCTACAAAATGCAAACAAATCCTGATGAACAGGGTAAATTTACCAATAATGTTTCATTTACTTTTCAATGACTTTTTGCTTCTATGTATTGAAAAGCATTTGTATTTCACAAGAAATGCTTTTTTCCTCTTTTCATATACTTAAGTGCCAGCAAATTGTTTCTAACAAAGAAGAGCATGGAATTTCTCACCCTTGCCAGATTTGCTCAATGGGGTCACAGTTGTCCAGGTAATTAAAGCGAATGATATCAGTTGGATGCTTGTCAGAAGATCTCCAGGGTGGGAGTTCTTTCTCCCCTGGGTGGGTTTTCTTTCTCAAAGAGGAAGAGGACCTGAAAGCTGATGCAGGGGACTGCTTTTCCTCTGCAGAACTGCTTGTAACTGGTTGAACGTTGGCAACAGCAAACCCATCTTTTGGAGGTGTCTGGAAGAAGAAAATTAATTATTTCTGTTCTTAAAACATCATAATAATTGCAACAATAAAAAATCATCATACCACCACCATCATCATCATCATCAACATCATCATCACAACTGCAATGATCATGGTGACAATTATAGCAGCCACCACCCCTGGAGTCCTTGTATGTGACAAGTACTATCTCAGGAAGTTTTCATGCATTATTTTATTTAACCTTCATAATAACTCTAAAAGGTAATAGTTACTACCCCATTTTACAGAAGAGGAAACTGAAGATGGAATAAGCCAATGAACTTGCCCACTACTACCTAAGTGGTAAGACAGAGGGTCAGAATGTGAATCTAGTACTGTTTTGCTTCAAGTCCTTGTACTAACCCTCTCTCCTGGACTGCCACCACGCCTACCACATCATTGTATAAGTTTTCCACAATTGCAGTTAATTGACTCATAAAAACGTACACATTTCAAAAAATAGTACTCCAGGCTTAATTATCTGTAGCACGTAGGGACAACTCTGAGTTATACAGAGGTAGACTGTAGATTTTATCAGTTATCAAAATCTTAACTGCTCTCAAAGAATACTTTTGCTTTAATTTCCCAAATGGAAAGTCTATTTTTGTGTGTGAAATTCATAAGGTTTTTATGTGGTTGTAACCTAAGGGAAGTGGTAATGGTATGTTGAGAAGCCATTAAAGGCTTAATTTTTGTTCTTTAAGAGATTAGGGAAGCTTTGCGTGGTAAATTGGTTTGCTTGAATTGTTTGTGATAATTAAGAAATTCCCCCATCCCTTCAAGCAGGATCAGTTTCTTATCCGTTTCAACTGTTCTTTGTATATATTTCCGTTGTAATTATGTGTTTGTCTATGTCCTAGGCCACTAGACTCAGCTCCTTGAAAGCAGGGTTAGGATCATTATAACTCAGCACCTAGCACAAAACAGTATTTAATAAATATTTACTAATTTAATAAATGATTGTAGTTTAGTAAATTAAGATGACATTTTATTTTATATAATTCATAGCTCATTATTGGTTTGGTATTCAGTATTTTGTTCAGGTCTCATTTAGCATGGACATTCCTTTCCATTTCTCTGAGCTTATATTGAACAAAAGCTGTTTTTGCTGAAGAAGGCTTAGTTTGATACTACTGGGAATAAATAATACATGATAAAAAGTTTCAGGGGGAAAAATTTAGGCATAAGTGCTAGTAATTATATATAAATAAACATTATCCATTCTGAAAAAAAAAACGGTTGACATTAACAAAAGAGGATATAATGAAAACTGATTTTTCTGTATTAAGTAAACAAAATTTTTGTTTGATTCACCTAAAGTCTTTGAGAATTTTTAAAATCATGATGTTGAACTTTTGTTAAATGCTTTTGTCTGCATATACTGAAATGATCATACATCTTTTCTCTTTTATTCTGTGAATTACATTGGTTAATTTTTTAATATTATGCCAACCTTACTCTCCATGGATACTTCCTACTTGGTCATCATGTATTATTCTTTCTTTGTATAGAACTTGATTTAATATGTTAATATTTTTAAAGGATTTTTATGTCTACGTTCATGAAGGATATTAATCTGTGATTTTGTTTTGTTTTCTTGTAAAGGCCCCATCTGGTTTTGGAATAAAGGTAATGAGTTGGGAAGCATTCCCTTGTCTTCCATTTTATGAAAAAGTTTATGTAGAATTGATATTTCTTCCTTAAATGTGTGATAGAATTCACCAGTGAAGGTATCTGGGTCTGGAGTTTTGTGGAAAATTATGAATTTGATTTTTAAGTTGATAAAGATTTATTCATGTTTCCTATTTCCTAGCGAGACTGTTTTGTAATCTGTATTTTCGAGAATTGTCCATCTCATCCAGGTGGTTGAATTTAGTGACATGGACTTGTTCATAATATTCTCTCATTATCCTTCTCATGTTTACAGGATCTGTAGTGATGCCCCCTCTTTCATTTCTGTTACTAGTAATTTATGTTTTCTTTTTTTTCCTGCATTGGCCTACCTAGAAACTTAGGAATTTTATTTACGTTTTTGAAGAAGCAGCTTTGGTTTCACTGATTTTCTCCATTGTTTGTTCTAATTTCATTGATCTTAGCTCTCTATTACTTCTTCTTTCTATCCACTTTGGGTTCAACTTACTCCTCTTTTTCTAGATGAAGACTTTTTGAAATTATGCTGTTTGGAGTAGATATAGCATAGCCTGACAGACAGGTATAAAGATCATTCTAGTCCAGTGCTCTCATTTTAAGGTTGGGGAAACTAAAATTAGCCACAACCATTTGCTCATAAAATGCTTTCAAAAGCTCTGCTGGAGCACCTGCCAGGTACAGGGTGTTGAAGGAAAGGGAACCAGGGAAGGTGCTTGAGTAAAGGTAAATTATGCTCTAATCCAGTGGCTGCCTACATTCACCATCACTGGAGCAACCTCACACGGAATTACCCAAATTACTCAAGTATGCACAGGGCTGACAGTTGACTTTTTAACCTTAGTCACATGACTTTATTAACCTTAGTCACATGACTCCTTAGTCTTTCTGACTTAGGTCTATTTATTAAACAGAAAAACTAACTTTCAATGTAACAAAGTGTTCCCTAAAGAAATTTAATACTAAGCAAAGAGGGGGCAATTTTCTTGCATCAGAATGAATCATCATTTTAAAATATAGTTATGCACATTTTATAGAAAAGAATTATGGCTGAAGACAAAGCTTTCAAGCGTTTTTTTTTTTTTTTTTTTTAAGATTTTATTTATTTGACAGAGAGAGATATAGCGAGAGAGGGAACACAAGCAGGGGGAGTGGGAGAGGGAGAAGCAGGCTTCCCCGCAGAGCAGGGAGCCCAATGCGGGGCTCAATCCCAGGACCCCGGGATCATGACCTGAGCCGAAGGCAGATGCTTAACGACTGAGCCACCCAGGCGCCCCTCAAGCGGTTTTATAAATAATACTCAAAGCCTCTTTTCCCTGCACAAGTTGGTTAATCACTTTTCTCTTCTCTGCCCCAGAATGGCCCAAGCTTCAGCTATTGAATGCCATTCCCTGCCCCTAACTGAAAATGAGAGTCAAGAAAAGCCTTATCAAATCTCGAAAAGAAATCATAGCTATGGCAATTTTTAAAATAACTTTCTCCATCACTGCAGTTTAAGTTTCCCTTTTAAAAGACATCCTCATGGAGCACACCAATTACTGAAATCAGAAAGGCTAGTTTTATCATTGCAATTGTAACAGTATTAATTATGCATAGTTTATTACTGTACTAAATGTAGATGGATTCTACTTTAAAACAATAAAACTGAACCTAAATGAACAAGCTAGGAGTTGACTATTCATCTTTCAAAAGGATTCTTCATTTTTAAAAGGATTCACTGCAATTTTTTCATAGAATATGATACCCCTGTGGTTTTAAAAATCATTAAAAATTTTTAATTTACACATAATTTTTCAGGAACTCATTTATTGTACAAAACGATGCATAGCTCTGCATGTATATAGATCATACCATAAAGAAAAGGCTCATAAAATTTTCCCATGAGTTATCTAATTAACTGTGACTATAAGAATGAACATAAACATTGGTTATAATGCAGAGAAAACAACTAGAAAAATTACTCTTGCATTATTTACTTTTTATCATTATATGCAAATGATTTACATGCTTAGTTTTTAGATTAAAAAGAACTTTAGTATACTCATTATTCCCTCCCCAAATTATGGATTTATTGGAAAACTTTTCTTTATAAATGATATAAAAATAACCTTTAGCTCACCCGGTAGAATCAGAAAATTTGAATTAATAAAGTAGAATTTGATGACCCATTGATAGCAAATACTGCACAATACCCACAGAGTCCCAGTGTCAGAACTGCCTGGCGTGTGAGTCAGAGATCCGGAAATCCAGGAATCTGAACAGAGTGAGCAGCTCCACGGTCCTAACCTCTTGGGAAACTGCTGGTTTAAGAGTGTCTGATGAGGGTTCTCAGCTAACATGGATGTCTTGAAAAAGGCTATCGAGTTCTCAGAAAAGGAGAATTTTGAAGTAATAGTGTATTTCCTTTGCTTACATTGCTTAGTTTCTAGATTAAAAAGAACTTTAGTATACTCATTATTCCCCTCCCCAACTTCTTAGTTCTAGAATTCCTTTTTTTTTTTTTTTAAAGATTTTATTTATTTATTTGACAGAGACAAAGAGAGAGGGAACACAAGCAGGCTTCCCGTCAAGCAAGGAGCCGGATGTGGGGCTCGATCCCAGGACTCTGGGATCAGGACCTGAGCCGGAGGCAGACGCTTAACAACTGAGCCACCCAGGCGCCCCATCTTTCTTTTTTTAATTCCATTTAGCATACAGTGTGATATTAGTTTCAGGTGTACAATTTAGTGATTCAACACCTCCATACAACACCTGGTGCTCGGTGCTTGTCACAAGTACCCTCCTTAATCCCCATCACCTGTTTAACCCAATTTCCGCCCCTCTTCCGTATTCCTAAATAGCTGATATTTGTATGTTTGTTGCTTTTTGCCCCAAATTTACCTTAGGCTTGGTAACATGAAGTTCTTTTACCATTTGAATGTAGTGCTTCTTCCATATACCCTGCTCAAAGGGAGTTGGAGAGAAATTGATGTACCAGTTAAATCGTAAACATTTGAGCATCCAGAGCTGATCCAGCTCAGTTAAATTCTTCCAGTGCCAGCTCACCTGGAAAAACAATTGGAAAGGAAAAAAAAGCCCTACTCAGTCTGCATGCCCATTTTCTCTAGGTCTTCAGCTGTCACCCTAGACCTGAGATAACTCTTTCTTCCAAATCAAAGCTTAAAAAGTTACCTACCTGAAGTGCTCCCTACCCAAGCAGAAGGATTTTCTTTAAATGTTAAATCACACTTAGATTCAGAGTCAACTAATATTTATCAAGTACCTATTAACCATCCCCTGTAAGGAGGCAGGTTGCAAACGAGAGGACTGTGGCTCAGATAGATTTTGGAGCTTCCTAGAAGTTCCTGAAGTTGAAAGTTATATGAGGGTTATAGAAACTCAGATCTGCGTATTGTTTACTCCTATTTTGGTATGCTTCCATTTTCTCTCCATTCTTATGATTTTACTAAATAGAAATTTTATAAACAGAAAGCAATTACTGGTATCATATGGTATGTCCTATATAGCCTTTAAGATTCCATAAAGCATACACTACTAGCTCTGTACATGCCATTCCCCCAGGATTATGGTCAATTTCACACATCCAGCAAATGATGGTGGTGACCCTACTATGTGCAGCAGTGTTTACAATAACTTACTCCAGATTTTGAACAAGTCTTGCTGAAAACTAGGGTCAAGATCATGTATAAAGTTCAGACCACAGGTTCTGTGTCTTGGTTATAAGAGTTGCAACGATGACACCTAACCTTCCAATGCAAATTTCATCCTTGGAAAACTGGCTTCTTTTTCAACACTAATTAAATCATTAATAATTTTTGAGCACACACACACACACACACACAAAAGAAAGAAAGAAAGAAGAAAGGGCAGAACACTGTAATATACATCCATTTATCTGGCCCTCCCATTCTCCCTCATTCCATCCACCAAGTGCTGAGTTCCATTATGTTTAGCATTGTTTTCTGTGCTGAAGAGGAGACATACAGGAGAGGGGAGGGCACAATTACAAGAAATAACAGGTTCAGGAGCTGGAAGGATGAAAAAGGGTAGAGAATCTGACAGAGCCCTGCAGGCAGGAACAGAAATCACATCTACTTTGTTCAACGCAGAAATGAAACAACATCGACTTTAATCCCCATATGGTTAATTAACTCAGAATTCAGCAGAAAGGTGAGGTTTTGCAGGAAGGGGATGAGGAGAAAAGTTTCTCAATTCTCACCCTTTTCTTCATTTTTCCTTACATCTTGTTTTGACCTGGGTATTAAGTTGGTTTTGATTCCCCCAGGGTAGATCAGGCTTTTGTATGTTTTGCTTCTCGGTGTTTTTTGTTTGTTTTAAAGTAGACAGGAATGAGGAGAGTTGAAGGGTAGGTAGGAAAGGCGCCTGGGTGGCTCAGTCGTTAAGCGTCTGCCTTCAGCTTGGGTCATGATCCCGGGGTCCTGGGATCAAGCCCCGCATCGGGCTCCCTGCTCTGAGGGAAGCCTGCTTCTCCCTCTCCCACTCCCCCTGCTTATGTTCCCTCTCTCACTGTGTCTCTCTCTGTCAAATAAATGAAATCTTAAAAAAAAAAAAAAAAGGGTAGGTAGGAGCTTTCAAAATTATCAGCACCCCCCATCTTTTTAAACAGTTCAAAGGTCATCTTAGTGCAATGGTATTATTGTTTAAATCTATCTGAAGGACATCTGCCTGTGTCTTCCTCACAGGCAGGGCTGGGAACAAATGTAATGCTGAGATCTTGCAAGACTGACATATGATACACATATATGACAGGATTAGTGATTTCAAATAACATTTTCCTCCAATGATAACATTCTCATTGTGCAAAACTTGGAAAATTCCAAGAATTTTCGAGAAAAACAATACCCGTTACCCCATCAATCAGAGATGACCTTTATTAACAACCTGACAGAGTTCTTTTCTTTTTCCTAAGCATGCAGGAAACAAAATTGGGAAATTTTATATATACAATTTTAAATTGTGCTTTCTTCATTTCACATATTATAAGCATCTTTGTTCTTGGAAAACATGTTTTCTAATGGCCACACAATAATTCATCATATGGTTATATGATAGTCTCTTACTATTGGACATTTAGAATGCTATGCTCTTTTAAGGAATGTTTCATTTTTGGAATAAGTAATATATGTACATTAATACTAAATTTAAAGACCCAAAGAGACATACGGTAAAAGAGAGTCTCTCTCATCCCCATCCTCTGGTCACTGCTTCCCCTCACTGGATGTAACCACTGCTACAGCTCCTGTGTGTCATTCCAGGAACATTCTAGGCCTATATTAATAAATATGCATATATTCTTTTTTCTTTCAAAAGTGGTAGGACAGTTCTGCACCTTTGCTTTTTTCGCTGATGATCAATCTTAAAGATTGTTGCAATTTATTTATTTATTTTTAAAGATTTTATTTATTTATTTGACAGAGAGAGACATAGCAAGAGCAGGAACACAAGCAGGGGGAGTGGGAGAGGGAGAAGCAGGCTTCCCACTGAGCAGGGAGCTCGATGTGGGACCCGATCCCAGGATCCTGGGATCATGACCTGAGCCGAAGGCAGATGCTTAACGACTGAGCCACCCAGGCGCCCTGTTGCAATTTATTTAACCAGTCCCCTAATGGTGGACATTTCCAGTGTTTCCAAACTTCTGCTATTACAAACAATACTGCAGTATTCTTATACAGACAATTTTTGCATATCGAGGCACTCCAAGAAGGGGAACTGCCGGATCAAAGGGAATCTTTCTTTCTTTTTTTAAAAAATTTTATTTATTTATTTTTTTAAGGATTTTATTTATTTATTCGACAGAGAGAGAGAAAGTGCACACAAGCAGCGGGGAGGGGCAGAGGGAGAGGGAGAAGCAGGCTCCCCACTGAGCAGAAGCCTGATGTGGGGCTCAGTCCCAGGACCCTGAGATCATGACCTGACACTTAACCCACTGAGCCACCCAGGCGCCCTTAAATTGTGTATTTTCTTTTTTTTTTTTTAAAGATTTTATTTATTTGACAGAGAGAGCACAAGCAGAAGGAGAGAGAAGGAGAAGCAGGTTCCCTGCTGAGCAAGGAGCCCAATGTGGGATTCGATCCCAGGATGCTGGGATCATGACCTAGGCCGAAGGCAGCCGCTTAACCAACTGAGCCACCCAGGCGTCCCAAATTGTCTATTTTATTTTAAGGTTTCAGGGTATTATACTCACAAAGGCCTCCTTGCCTATGTTTTCTTTGAGTACTTTAATGGTTTCCCTTGATTTCATACCAATCTTTTATCCTACTAGAATCTTTTTTCAGACAGCTGCGCAATTGTCCCAAAACCATTTATTGAGTAACTCCTCTTTCTTACTGCATTCATTTTCTTAATTTTAAAGACTAAAATTATGTTACACATCTGTGAACACGTGGTAACAAGTAATTTCTGGTGTTACCAGAGTCTACGAAAATTCTCAACAAAATGGCTACCAGTTTTACCTTGTAAGGAATTGGGAGTATACTTTAATAGACCATGGATTTATTTGTAGGAAAACAACAGTCAGCCCCTTTTCCAAGGCCACTGGAAGCGAGTCTACACATTCTGAACTCTTTTAGTCTTTTTTTAAAGATTTTATTTATTTATTTGAGAGAGTGAGTGAGAGAGAGAGAGAGCGAGCATATGAACAGGGGCAGAGGGAGGAGAGGGAGGCTCCCCTGCAAGGCTCGATCCCAGGACCCTGGGATCATGACCTGAGCCGAAGGCAGACTCTTAACCGACTGAGCCACCCAGGTGCCCCCAGAACTCTTTTAGTCTTGTACTCTTTGTACATTCCCCACTAGTACCTTATTTTGAGGTTTTCTGTTTATGAATAGCCTACACTATACAATTTAGAATTGTTTTCTAGTTGTATGCTATGCAGTATAAGACTACTCTGCTGACGAACCATTTCATATATATGTTTGTCTCTCCAACCAGCAAATACCATTCTGTGGACACTAATGACGTCTTACATCATTTTACAACTACTTTTGAGCACTAAATACAGAGGCACAAAGAAGACCGGGGTTAATTCAAACTATATAGACTACACATATTGACCATCTCATCTATTTCTTGGTTTTGCATATGTGCTTTTAGAATTTTCTAGGCTATCACTACAAAACATTGTATACTGATTCTTTGCCTTTACCTGTGCACAACGACAAAGGCTTCGGGGGTCCAGGAAAGAAAAGATGTATAAAGATAACACCCTTGGAAGCTTGGTAGTAAAATCCAGAGCTTCTGCTGGAATTTTTTCTTGAAGTTTTCGACAGCAGAACTTTTGCTGTGACAGGGAGCAACGTTCTAACAGGCCTGTCAAGATTCTTCTCCGTTGAGAGTCTGTCCATTTATCAAACTGGAAAAAAGAAAGATTAAAAAAACTGTGCGGTTTCAGTCTGATACCAGAGATTCATTAGAGGAAGGGATAAGAATGGCACAGAATTGAGTTTAATATTTTATTCCTAATGAATAGCATGTATATCTTCCCCTAATTAATAAATTTGATGTTTTGCCACTTACCTGTCCTTTCTCACATTTATACATGTGAGCATGTGCAAGACGTGTGTACACTGAAGTGTACTTGACCTCAGAACTTGTAGTTACATAAGGACAGTATGTTGCGAGCTGGCCATATTCATAAACTGAGAAAATATATACTTAAAAATATAATTTCGGGGATGCCTGGGTTGCTCAGTCGGTTGGGCGTCTGCCTTTGGCTCAGGTCATGATCCCAGGGTCTTGGGATTGAGCCCTGCAGGGGAGCCTCCCTCTCCCTCTCCTTTTGCTGCTCCCTCTGCTTGTGCTCTCTCACTCTCTCTCTCCTCTGTCAAATAAATAAATAAAAATTTTAAAAATGTGTATATATATATATATATATATATATATATATATATATATATATATACTTTTTTTTTTTTTTCCCCAAGAGAAAGCACCTGGGCAGTCCCTCTCTGGCCAGAGTTTCTGTATTAGCTCCTAAGTGCCAAACTCCAGGACCAGAAACAAAGCTTTGCATTCACCATTGGAGATAAGGTATACTATGCAAATATCCCTGAGAAGGGTTAAAGTCCCACTAATGTGTAAATGATTGATTGGAGAGAATATGTCAATAGGAAGACCTGGGGGGTGGGGCGGGGGGAAGTGCCAGAGACACGAAGTAGATGCCAGAGTAATCTGGGGCATGCCAAACAAAAGCTTTGGTTACTTTACTATTTTCCCCAGAGATAACCCTAAATCAGTCCCAAGATCAATGACTGATCAAAGATAAGAATTCGAGGGCTGGCCAAAACCAAAAGAAAGGCTCTTATGGGAACACCCACCAATTGAATGAGCCACTTTACTGGAGGTCTAAACCTCTCTTTTTTTCCTTAGCCCATTTTAGAGAAGAAAAATAGGAAAGTTTAGAGCGACCTGTATTTTGTATACTATTGCATTTCACATATAGATATTTTCTATGGTTGTCATAAGCTAGTGAGAATTTTATAAGGAACTTCAGTTGTAATCATAAAATACACTGACTACCTAACAAGGCATATAAAGCATGACAAGTCAACTTCATTATAGTCATATGATGTATTTTTTTAATTGGCAAGAAGACTTCTTGATCAAAACTATTCACTATTATAGATCTATTTCATGATCCAGGAATCTCAGTTTAGAAACTATTATTCAAGGGGGGATGTAGCGAGCAAGATGGAGTCACTCATGTCAAGCAGGGACGTAAGCAGCCAAGGATGTTGCAGCTGAGACCAGATATCACTAAAACCAGCACAGATTGGCAGTACTAAGAACTGATAATCAGTAAGGCTGGAGAACCTGGAAGAACCAAGAGCTGATAATCACTAGAACCAGGAGAGTCTTGCAAAGGCCCCAGACTGATTAAACTCCTTTAAACAGAGGATTTCTGCAGCAGACTGTCAGACTCTGCAGACACTGAGCCTTCCACTTCTGACTGTACTGACCGAAGGCCTTGCCTGATTGATCTTAAACATCAGAGAGATTCTCCACTGCTTGAACATAATAAGCAGTATGAGCTGAGAGCTGACCTAGACTGGACTGAGGCCTTACCTCAATTGTGCGCTCAGGGACTGACCTCGCATTTGGTTCAGTAACTTCTTGCCCCTTGTTATAGCTTCTCTGTTGTGTGATTTTGTATGGTACTTTGTTTTGTGTGTTGTGTATGAAGCCAAGTTAAATGCACAGTAACATGTCATTGAGTTTGGAATTCTGACGTTGTGGAAAGACACAACTCATGTAGGGGCCTTGATAGTGGGCTCGTGGCAGGGAAGAAAAACCCAAAACCTCAACGTACAAATAAATGAATAAAATCTATACATGTGCGAGTGTTTCCTGATTTCTCCTCTCCCTATTTCTGCACAATTCATATTTCCAGCTCTCACAATGGGGGTTTTCTTTCCTTTTGGGATGGATTATTAGAATGAAGAGAGAAGCCAGAGCAGAATGACTTGGGCCAGGGGAAGAACCATGCCAGAGAAACCACACTGATCTATAAAATCAAGAGCCAAGTGTGAAGAGAGAAAAGCAGTTAGGTTTTTGGCTTGTTGGGAGTTTGGGGGTTCAGAATGCCATTGCCTCGACAGCAGTTAGAGACTGTGAGAGAACTGAGGAACGAAGGAAGGTATTAAAAAGAAAACCATAGTCCAAAATGGAGTCATTTATGTTAAGGGCCCCATGTTAGCAAACCAAGATTTAATACTAACCTAATTGTAGTATTATATATCCCCCAGGAATATAACCTTTAACCAGTCAACATGGAATTTCCTAGTCAGCACTAGGAAATTTACCAACAGACCCCTTCCATTGCCCTTAGGAAAGCAACCTTACCTAAAACAATGTGTTCTTTGCTAATAATTTCCATTGTTAGGTTCTCTCTACCTTTCAAAACCTGTCCTTTTCTGTAGCTCAGCAGAGCTCCTTTCTATTTACTAGATAGGATGCTACCTGATTCACAAATTGATCAACAGAGTCAATTTAGTCTTTTAAATTACTCAGTTGAATTTCTGTTATTTAACAAAGGGAGACCTGATAAATACTGTCAAGAGTTTTAAACTGGTTCTGCTGTGATTTTTCTTTGAAACACGAAATGAAAATTGGAATTCATTTTAAAATTACTTTTAGGCAGTGCTCTGTGGTTCTGTAGAAACTGAGCTACATGGGGACCCAGGACGATTACGGTTACAAAAAAATTTTCATGTGATATTATTATCACTGTAAGAAATCAGAAATAACCAAAAATGCCTATAGAGATCAGCTATGCAAACTGTAATATCTCCACATGATAAGAGAAAGTATGGCATTACAGATTGATGGTGGATTTGGGAATGAGGCTATTGGAAGTCTCACATACAGTATTCTATTATTTCTAATACTTTTTAAAAATAAATCACTAAATCCCAGTTCCACCACTAACAACTTCTCAATTTCCTCATTTATACATTAAGAATAATTATATCTAAATTGTAGGGTTGTTGTGAGGATTAAATGAAATAATATATGTATAAAATTCTTTTTTTTTTAAAGATTTTATTTATTTATTTGACAGAGAGAGACACAGTGAGAGAGGGAACACAAGCCGGGGAGGGGAAAGGGAGAAGCAGGCTTCCCACTAAGCAGGGAGCCTGATGCAGGGCTCGATCCCAGGACTCTGGGATTATGACCTTAGCCGAAGGCAGACACTTAACGGCTGAGCCACCCAGGCGCCCCGCTATATGTATAAAATTCTTAATAAGGTGCATGCCTCATTGTAGACATGGTAGCTATCATTATAAAATATCAAAGTGATGTTAAGAATAATAAATCAGTGTGAAAAGAATATATATGCAAACAATTAAATTAAATTAAAAAGCATAAGATTATCATGTCCATGCATTGGCAAGGATGGGAAGCACATTTAGAATGACTGAGGTTAGCTCATTTACTTTCATTGCTGCCCACAAAGAGAATGAGCTCAGGTTGAAGAACAGTGATTTAAAATGAATATAAAAGAACCTAGGATTATAAAATGCTTAAGAAATCTATAAAAGAAAACATTAAAACATTTTCCTCTAGAGATTAAAAAGATAATTACGTTGGTTTCTCATTTATTCCCCTGATTACCGTGGTCAAAAGGTAATTTATATCTGGCTTTGATAGGTGTTCTTTGCCTCAGGGATTTTTCCTTTCTAATTGTGTTTGTTTAGGCTAATAGAAAATGAATTTGCATTCCTTGAACTCCTACCAATTGAAGGTGGGTTGATGACTCAGAAGAATGTTTCACGGTTGGGGAAAATCCCTTTGGAATTTAAAAGGTGCTAGGAATAATCCAAAAAGTAAATAATCCGGGGAAGAGTTAACTGTCCAGGAATTCAATAATCTCCTACATCTCTCCCATCACCTTTCAAGTAAAAATACCCAAAACATAGTAGCCAGGAATCCAAGATGTGAGATTTGGGGAGGAGCTAGGACCATTCTTCCATCCTGGTATCACTTACAGTACCTCCCTTTACAGTTAGTTCCTTTTAAAAAATATTATATTATATCAATTGTATTATGCTATGTTATATCACAATTATGATATGATTATATTTTATAATTATTTTAATGCCTTTTTATAGGGCTTTCAGGACTCAATAGAACTGTGAAAATCCTATGTTTGGAGTAGTTGTTCCAAGGATTTTTACTGCAGTTGCAGGAAGTGAGGACAGTTGCTAGAGACTTCAGGTTCCACTTATCTCACTCCGACTGGCAAGGAAAAGTTCACAGCGAGTGAGGGACAAGATGAAGAGGAAGGCTTGTTATTGTCTGCTTATTGGTTATTTATCTCAATCTGGTTGAGGTGTTTTTTTTTAAGATTTTATTTATTTATTTGAGCAAGAGAGTGAGAGAGAAAGAGAGATTGAGATAACAAGTTGGGGGAGGGGCAGAGGAAGAAAGAGGCTCCCCGCTGAGCAGAGAGACAGATGCAGGACTTGATCCCAAGACCCTGGGGTCATGACCTGAGCCAAAGGCAGACACAACCGACTGAGCCACCCAGGCATCCCTCTGGTTGAATTTCTGAGTCCTATTATCAAAAACTGACTTTCACATTAAAGTATAAACATATTATTATTTAAAAGTTTCAAAAAGGTACATATAGAATTAAACATGAAAATCCTCTGTGACTGCTCTTCCCCATCCAATCTCATTCCATCCTCCAGATGGACACTATGCACAATTTGATGCACAATTTGAAGTTTGTTTGTTTGGTTTTTTTAAAGATTTTATTTATTTATTTGACAGAGAGAGACACAGCGAGAGAGGGAACACAAGCAAGGGGAGTGGGAGAGGGAGAAGCAGGCTTCCTGCGGAGCAGGGAGC